CCCAGAGGCCCACGGCCCGTCCCAGAATCCCAGCGTCGTGAGCACTTCGCCCCCTCCTTTCCTCTCCCCGAGCCTGTGTCTTTTTCCTGGAACACTTCGAGGCCGGAACCCGGGCGCTGTCGCTTCCTCTGTGCCTGCCCCGCTGCCCGTGAGGACCAGTCACCCTGACCGTCCCCGCCTCCGCCCGCCGGGCGTGGCCGACAGCGGTGCCTCCGTGGGCCCGGTCCTTCCTGCGCTCCGCAGGCTGCGGCGCAGGCCTTTCCCCAGGCGGCCGCAGTGCTCCAGCTGGAGCTGCCGCGGGCTGTGGGGGCAGGCCGGCCGTGACCCCTCCCAGGCCCCGTCTGTGACCCCGTTACGCTCCCCAGCCCCTGCTCCAGCCCCTGCGAGGGTGCTGTCCTGCCTCGGAGGCCCCGTCCTGAGCCCTGTGACCGTCTCACCTTGCTCTGTGGTCTCCGCTTCTCCTGGCCCCGGCCCCTCGTCCTTCCCCTGGTGTCCCCTGTAGCCCTTGTCCTCGTCCTCTCGCTCATGCCCCAGCATCTGGCGGGAGAGGACGTGGTGCCCAGCGCTGGAGACCTGGCCGTGAGGTCCGTCTGCGCCACCGGCACGGGACACGCAGTGCAGTGCGGAGGCGGGCGCAGCGAGGCCGGCATGGGAGAGCGTGGGACGTACTCGGGTCGGGGCACAGGATGGGCGCAGCGTTCACGGTGGGGGGTACCTGAGCCTGGGCAGGGTCACTCTGAGCCGCGGCACTGAGACTTTAGTAACCAAGTCTGCCCAGAGCCACGGCATGGGAGGCTGGGGGGCAGGACAGCCACGCCCTGGGGAGGCCGTCAGGGCACAGGCCCTGGAGAGCTCCAGGAGGTGGGGGCCGGCTTCAGTGTCAACTTTGGAAAGACAGCACACACATGATGGTGCATGCGTACAGGGCCAGCACCCTGGGAGGCTGAGGCAGGAAGATGGCAAGTTGGAGCCCTGCCTAGGCAACTTAGAGTCTTAGTGGGCCCCCATCTCAGAACAATGAATGAACGAGCTGCAGCTCAGTGGGGAGGCCCTGGTTCAATCCCCAGCTCCCCCACCCCAAAAAGAGCCTCACATGGTTCCAGGGCCCTGTCATCGTGTCCGAGGTTATTTGGGCAGTACATGGCTAAAGGTGGGTGTTGAGTCAAACTTGAAAGGAAGACAAAGCGCAGATCTCTGGTGTTGTCCACACACGTTCCCCAAGCCGCTGCCTGGACGGGACAGACGTGTCGAGCATTGCGTGGTCCTGGGCAGCACTGGCCCCGCCCGGCCTCGGAGTCCCTGAGTCCCGAGGGCGCCTGCCCCGCTCGGCCGGGAGACCCAGCAGCTCACAGCGCGGCCCGCGGGGGTCTCTGTAACGTGAGCGCCCTTGTCGGTGTGCGCGAGCGATGTCCACTCGAGCAGCAGACGCCTCGGACTCGGCTGCGGCCCCCGGTGCTGCTGCTTGCCCCGATGCCCCCTCGAGCGAGCGCTCCGTTCTCACCCCGCCTCCTGTCACTGCCGTGGCCCTCCGTGCTCACCCGCTGTCCCCAGGCCTCGGTGCTGGCCGCGTGCAACTCTGTGAACAGAAGCCGGACCGGGCCGCAAGGACAGCGGGAGAGGGCGAGGGTGCGGCCGGCAGCAGGGCCCGGTGCGGGCGTCGCTCCGGTGCGGGTTCCGAGGGCCGGGCCGGTGGACTGGCCACCTCCACGGCGGCCACAGCGGAACGCGGACACAGTCGCTGCCTGGCATGCGTAGGTGACGCACGGGGTTCACCGTTGCGCTCGCTGCCGCTGCGGCTGGGGGACCTGCGCCCCGGGTTCCTGGCCACGGGGCACCGAGAGCAGCCCCGCTGTCCCACGTGGTGCCGGCCGAGGGACCCTGCGGAGGAGAAGCCTGCGGGACGCAGGTCTGGAGGGGCAGGTTGATTCAGTGACAGGAGGCCCCGCCCGGAGTCAGAGGTTGCTCTCCTCAGCCGCCCGCAAAGCTGTGCAGAGGGTGCGGCTGGGCCCGGAACAGGAGCCCACGGGCGAGGCCACAGCCAGGGCCGGATGACCGGGACAGCGGCTGTGGCCGAGGAGGAAGGTGCCGAGGGGTGCTGTGGGGGGCAGCGCAGGTGCAGAGGACGTGCTAAGAGGTGTAGATGATGTGACTTGGTTGATTGTGAAGACGCTAAGGTTGCTTATCATCGCCGGGCATGGCGGTACACGCCTGTCGTCCCAGCACACTGGGAGGCTGAGGCAGGAGGGCTACATATTCAAACCCAGCCTGAGCACCTTCGTGACTCAAGCTCCTGGTGTGCGATCCGTACAGACACAAAGCTCACCCCGGAGGCTCCACACTCAGGATCCAATCACCACCTAAGGGTCCTGCCTCCCATTACTGCCCCCCCAGGCTTACTCAGGAGACTTGTAGGGAACCCCCCCACCCCTCGCCCAGCCCACAGCGCAGGTGACGGAACCAGTCCAGTCAAGACAGAACTGGCCTTCGGGCTGTGTGAGCTGCTGCTGTCCAGAGCTGGTGACAGGCAGTTACGGGGTGACAGTTTTATATTGTTCAGAAGGGATTAAAAGGCCGACTTTTCCCGTCTCCTTAGAGTCAGCATTTGACCATTTATGTGAAATGTAACATCCAGGCTGAGCATGCCTAAATCAAAAAGTTTTGGACTTTGGGGCATTTTGGGTTTTGGAGTTTCAGATAAAGGAGGCTCGTATGTTAAAGTTATACAAATATTTCTAATTTAAGCCAGGTGTGGTGGCACGTGCCTGTAATCCTAGCACTCTGGCTGAAGCAGGCTGAGGCAGGTGGATTGCTAGCTCAAGCCCAGCCTGGGAAAGTAAACTACGTAACAAGATCCTGTCTCAAAATAAAAAAAAAAAAATATGTATGTAAAAGGCCTGGGGACATAGCTCAGCATGAAGAGATTTGGTTCCATCTCTGGTACCAAAACAAACAAATAAACAGAAACCAAATATTTCAAATTCCGAAACATTCAGAGACCGAGGACTCTTGTTCTCGCAGGCATTTGGGACAGGGACTAGCACGCTGGCCTGCCGTGGTGTCCTCCCAGCGTGGCACGCATGTGCAGCTCAGAGCTGGAGAAGAGGAGAAGCTGGCCAGCCTGGGGCGTCCACCCTGCCCCGCCTTGTCCTGAGCCTGCGCACCGTCCTGGTTCCGCCCCTGGCAGCGTCTCTGTCTGCCCTTCATCTAGGAAGGACCCGTGCTTTCAGAAGGAATCTGAGCTTTCAGTTCTGCTATGCGGCACATTCCAAAGCCGCCCGACTTCTTACCGCCCTGGCGGATCCTCTGGTTGTTCAGATGAGAAACGCGCTTGCCTCTGGCTGTTCTCGGGAGTCCTCTCCTGTCCCAGCTTCAGGCACTTTGCTGATGACGTCCTGGACTGGGGCGTCTTCCTATGCATTCTCCATGGGGTCTGCTGGACTTTATTAAAATGTTGAATGGAGTTTATGCTGAACCCCTGTACACAGGCACACAGTGATGAAAGGGGTAGGGAGCCACGTGCTGTCTCTAAGGTGCAGGTGCGGGTGTGCAGGTGCCGTGGGTGTGCAGGTGTGCGTGTGCAGGTGCCGTGGGTGTGCAGGTGCCATGTAACAACCCTTGCTCTGGCACTCCTTGCCCTGCTTTTTCTCTTTGTAAGTCAGTGGGAGGCATTTGCAATGCCTGAAACTCACGTGCGCTGGGGGTTTGGTCCATGGTCGTTGCTGGACTTCCTGAATCTGTGGATTTATGTCTTCTGCCCAGTCAGGAAGTTTTCTGCCATTAATTCTTTTTTTAATAAGTCCACGTTTGCAGCATGTATGTTTACATTCCTGTGCAGCGCTGGTGCGTGTTAGCACACGTGCGTGTCCTGTTTCACCCCCTTCTATCCTCTCTCTGTCTCTTGATCCCCTTCACATTTCAGAAAGTTCTGTTGTCCTATTTCCTCTTAACCTGTCTTTTCGATATTTCCTATTATCTGTCATCTATTTTGTTCTTTATTTATGATTTAGGTTTTTAAAGTAAGAGAAATCATGTGATATTTAAGCTTGTGCATCTGATTGATTTAACTTGACATCATGGTCCGAGGCTGCATCTATTTTTCTACAGATGACTCAAGTTTATCCTTCTTTGTGGCAGCATAGTGCTCCATTGTGTATAAATACATTTTCTTTATCCTTTCGTCTGTTCATGGACATATGGGCTGCTTCCAAGATATATCTACTGGGAGTCCTGTGATATGGTGTCTTTAACTCTTTCGGGAAGAGGGAATAGCAGGGTGGAACGGAATTTCTCAGCAGTTTTGGGGACATCTCCACACTGACCTCCCTAGAGGTTCTATGGGTTTATAGCATAGAGGGCTCCCTTTCCCTGCAGCTGCTGGTCCTTCATTCTTTCTCCTGTCCTTTCAGGGTCCCATCTACGTGGAAACTCATCCTCTAGTACTGTCCAGAGGCCCCAGGTCTGTGCCTCTGTCCGTCCTTCTTCCTTGTGACATGCAGGTCGGGTGACTTCTCTGGTGTGTATTCAAGCTCAGCACGGCTGCTGTGGAACCATCCTGTGAGCCTGTATTCCAGTTGCGGCCATGCCCATCCTCCTTTTCGAGCCCCACCGTGAGCGGTTTCTGCGGAAGCTCGCCCTGCAGGCCCTACCCTCCCCCACCCCCGGGTGGCACTGAGTCCAGGCTGGGGGAAAGGCGCTAAGCCGCGTGCTGGCTGTGGTGCTTTGACCTGGTCTTTACCTGCTCTCAGCTTCCCTGCTACTGCTCTCAAGGGAGGGTCAAAACGTGTCGCAGTAAAATCTACCACAGAGAAAGACGTCGCCGCGAACCCCCTCAAGACGCTGCTGCAGCTGCGAGCCGCTCGCCCCCGTCCTTCCACTTCCTGCGGCAGCTCTGGGGTCCTCCTTCCCAAGTGTGATAAAAAATACAGTGAATTTTGCTGCCCGGCGCCATCCGACAGAAAGGCAGCCTCATGAAAGCACGGAGCTGTGTCCTCTGCGGCCTTCTGAACTGGATCTGGCACGGTGTGACGTCCAGCGCTTTCCCAAAGTCAGAATGACCATGACAAGAAAGCATTTTGAGTGGATTGAGGGGATCGAGGCGGCCAGGACAGCACCCCTAAAGACCCTGCAGAAAGAGGACGCCAGAGACGCTGCGGGAGGCGGCAGGATGCGGGGCGGTGTGCTGGAAGCGAGGGCAGGGTTCTGGCGGGGCTCGTGGCGAGTGTGTTCTACTGTGATTCCCTTTTAAACTGAAACTTCTGCCGTCTTGTTTGATCTCAGCTGCTCGGGGCCTGGCCAGCCTTCCCCGGGCCCCAGTGGGCGGGGGAACCAGGGCGCCTTGCCGTCATCCTCCCTGTTCTCTGTCCCAAACATCCACACAGGGGGCCGGATGCCGTTCAGACCAGACACAAGCAGGTGAGCCCCGAGGGGAGTGAAGTACTTGTGAACGCGGTCACGTAGCTGACTAAGCAACGGCAGAGGCTCGAGCACATTCCAAGCACATGACAGGGAAACGGAGAACTATAGTGCCAGGAAAAAGATCAGCTGGTGCCAGGACCAGGAGGGCTCCGGGGTGAGTGTGCAGAGCAGGAGGGGTGCCCGGGGCAGGGAGGCGGTGCGGCCAGCATTGGCGGTGGGCTCCTGTCTGGAGCATTTGTTCACACTGCGGAGCGCGGGATGGAACTGCAGCTGGGATGTGCTCTGCAGTCCTGGGTGACAGCGATGTGTCATGGTGAAGTTCTGGAGCGAAACCGCTGGGCTTGGCAGGGTGGGGACCAGCGGGGAAGCTCTGTGCTGCCTGTCAATCCTGCTGTGACCCCGAAACTGCGTATTAAAAAGCCTGTTTAAACTAACGCATGTGCCAGAGATCAAGCAGTGAAATAAGGGGAGGGCTTCGGGTGTGCGGTGAGAACTAGCGGTGATATTACAAACCCAGAGCAAAGGAGCGCTCCGTGTGCTTGGGGGGCCCAGGCAGTAATGCCCCCTTCCCCCCTTAATGCTTGGGGGGTTCTTGGTTGCATCGAATGGGAGCGCCTCGTCTGCACCGTCAGGGCTGCCGAACAGGTGACCCTGGCGGTGTGAACCTCACGCAGAATAAGTGCGTGGCGCCTGTCGTGTAAACTCGCCGAGCCCGTGTGACTCGCTGGGTCTTTCAGAAGCTGAGCCCCAGTGCACGGCCCAGCCCTGGGCGGGTCCGCAGGGCAGGGCGGCTGTGGTAACCCGAGAGTGACGACAGCTGAATCACCCCTGAAGGGCCGCAGGGGTCTGGGCGGCCAGCGTTCCCCATGCCTCTGCGTGGGCACGGAGATTAGGACAGCGGGCAGCTGGGAGGGGCGCGGGCTTGCCGTGCCGTGGGCACCTGTTAGCTGCAGAGCGGAATCCCTTGGGGGGCAGCTGGCTGGGCGGCACAGCCGCTGCGGTCCTGCTGTCACAGCTTCGTGCTGCTGGCTTCTGGACGGTGGGGAGGTGGACAGGAAGACTGCCATTCACCGGCTTTGAGCTGTCGCCACCAGTGCGCCTAAAAATAGCGCTGCCCTCTCTGGCGCAGTGGTGAGGCCACCGAGTGGCCGTACATGGCCGCGGCCCGTCCCCTCCCACCTCCCGCCCGCTGCCCCACCCAGCTAATCTCGGGATCGGATGTACCCGCTCGCTCTGGTGGTGTGTGGGCGTCGCTGCGAATGCAGGGCTTCTAAATTTATGCAGCACTTGGCAGGGGGTGCGCGCTGCACCCCGTCACGCTGCGTGTTCAGCAGTTAGGGGCGGAGCTGAGTCCTGGGGGCCGGCGGGCTGGCCGCGCGTCTGGGGCCTCACAGAGTGACCGTGGCCGCGCCCGAGCCGCCCTGCCACGCTCAGGACGCGTCTCCCTTGCTTCTTGGTCCACAGAGGCGGCTCCGGCTGCCGTGGGGACTGCAGAAAGTACTGCACCTGTGCCCCGCTGACCCTGCCTGACCGTCTGCTCTGTCACGCCTGTGCTCCCCTTCCCAGTGCTCCCCCGGCCTGGGTCCCGCAGCAGCCCTGGAAGGGAAGGGAAGATTTTTGTTCTGTTCGTGCTTTGTAGCGCTGGGACTGACCCAAGGCCTTCACACTGAGCTGCGTCTCCAGCCCTTTCTACCCTTTTATTCTGAAAACACAGTCTCACAAAAATTGCCCAGGCTGCGCCTGCACTTGCCGTCCTCCTGCCTCAGCCTCCCAAAGTATTCCTTAAGTTTCTATCTTGGAATACTATCAGATTTGCAGAAAGTGGCACAGTTAAAGAATTCCTGCGTATCTCCGCGCAGCCCCGCTGTTAACATGGGCCTGTGGCCTGTGGGCCCCCCGCCCCACGGCCACGCTTGATGTGTTCACAGGCGTGGTGCACACGGGCTTCTCCCGAGAGAAGGGGCAGGCCCTGACGCCGCCCTCCGCCTCCCTGCCCCCTGTGGTGTCTGTGGCTCCGCTCCTTGGCTCCGCGACGCCTGGCTCGGCCCTTCAGTCCACTTTCTCATGCTGTTCTGTGTCCCCGCCACGCAGCGGGGCACCCACCTCCTCAGCCTCCCAAATCAGCACCTCGCAAAGACAGGACACCCAGGAGGGAAGGGCGGAGCGCTCTTCCAAGGCAGGTAGATTGAGCAGCTGGGTGTGGTGGGGCACACCTGTAATCCCAGCCACTTGGGAGGCTGAGGCAGGAGGATCAGGAGTTTGTGCCAGCCAGGACAATTTAGCAAGTCAGCAAGACCCTGTCTCAAAACAAAAATAAAAGAGCCAGGCACGTAGCTCCGTGGGAAGACCTACACACGGGGGGAGAACAGCCTTAAAATCAAGTCCAGACACTGGTAGCAGATAATCTTTCTTTTCCCAAAAGCATCAACCCAAGACGGATGGCTGTCTCGTGTTCTTCGCCCTTCTGGTGCAGAGGGGAAGCCAGGACTCTGTTTCCAGGACCAGCCCGCTGTGTGGGGCCAGGCTTCCTGGACTGGGGTCCTGGAGCGAAGGCCCTGCTTTGTGAAACCCCGCGCCTCGGGTGAGGATGGGGGACTGCGCCAGTGCACGCTGCAGCCGGCCTGCTGGGGCCTCGAGTCCCAGGCACTGCCGTGCGTGCTGACCCCTGCTCCCTGCGCTGCCTCTGCCCGCCTTTCTCAGAGGACAGGTCGCCCTGACTGGGCGCCTTTGGGTTTTCTCCAGGGCTGTGCCTGCCTCCGTGTGAACGTTTATTCTTCACATGCGTTGGCAGCGTGTCCTGACCGCATTCCTCCCGGGATGTGTCCAGGACAACACACCCTCCCCCCATCTCCCGACCGACCCCTTCCTTCCCTTTCGCGGGAGATCTGCCATCTTTGAGGCAGAGGATGCAGGACCGTGCAGCAAGCGTAGAGAGCCAGCCTCAGGGAGCGCAGCCTCATGGCCAGGACCGGAGGGCACAGCTGGAAGGACCGGGAGGCACCGAGCGTGCAGGGGAAAGGTGGGGGCCGGGGTGGTGGGAGCCCCGGTCCTCGTGTGCGGAGGGGACGCACTTGCCAGAGGCAGCGTGACCGTGGCTGATGGGAGGACAAGTGACCAGAAGGGGGTGGGGAAGTCACGCGTCCTGCTGCCACCACGGCATACGACACGCGCACAGGACGGGCCCCGCATGGGGGTGGGTGCTGGGGGCCCAGGACCGGGCCTGCCTGGCGGAGGGACGGGCAGCGCTCTGGGGACCGGGCGTGTTTGGCTCCTGAAAAGAAATACCTAACACGTCTCCCAAGGCGCTGGGATTCCAAGACCCCCACAGCGTTGGAGTATTCCAGGAGCCCTATTTGAGGATCGGGCGAGTTAACTATTTTCAAATGAGCACAACTTGCCCGTTGAAGCTTGGCATCATTTTTAGAGTCTTGCTTTTCACGCCAGCTGGGTGGCGCCACTATAAATACACAGCACATGGGGCGCTGAGGGATGGGGGTGCACCGGGTGGGAGGCAGGTAGCACCCGGCCCTGCCTGATGTGTGCAGGAACTTCGCCAGGAGCTGGGGGTCCTGGGCCAGCAGGTCTCCTCTTTCCCTCTTCCACCTCACTCGCCTCCTTCCTTCACACTGAGACAAGGCCTCACCAGGTTGCCTAGGCCAGGCTCTGACGTGCAGTTCTCCTGCCTCAGCCTCCCAGAGTGCTGGGATGACACGCTTGTGCCACAGTATGCCTGGCTCCAGTTTCTTCTCTGGTAAATGGGAGATTTTAGAGAGAGCGGTGGCTACTGTAATGCCTCGGGGACCTCTGCAGTGGGCAGGGATTATGCAGAAGACTGCAAGATAGAGCTTTGCATTTTCTTTTTTTGTTGTTTTTTTCCGGTACCAGGAATCGAACTCACGACCTTGCATTTGCCAGGCAGGCGCTGTGCCACTGAGCTATATCCCCAGCCCCGAGCTTTGCATTTTCGGGAGCTTTTCAGTTGCTCAGTATTCGATTTTTATTCCTTAAGAAGAGGACGCGGTCAGTGTTTGTCGTTTGTGTCCAGCGATGATGCTCGGATGCACAGGAAGGAGGTGCCGAGGTGTGAGGTTACCGCCATGTCGCCCCGTGTCCTGCAGCAGGGGGCTGTGAACCCCGCCTGAGCCTGCTGGCTTGCTGGGCTGTGGCTCCTGATCCAGACACGTGCAGACCCCAAAGTGGCCCTCGGCCTCTCTGTGTGCCCCACAGGTCTGAGCCGGCCCTGCTGGTGTTTGGGGGTCCTGCGTGAACTTGGGGTGCCCTGTGCACTCCTTTCCTGTTTGTGTTCAAGAGCCTGAGTTTTCCTTTTCCGCATTCCAGGTTAACGTGGTGTTCCTCGTGTGACCCTGGCGGGTAGGAAACGGCACACGTTTAATGCTCTCATGGTCCCAGCGCTCTGCCTCTGCCTCCTGGGAGTGGGGGGGCGTCCCAGGCTGGCACTGCACTGGGTGACCTTCCCGAGGCACCGAGCCAGGTCCCAATCTGAAAAGGCGGGAAAGTGGGGCCTGCCACCCCAACAGCAGGAGCTTGGGGACCTGCCAGCCGGGAGGGGCAGGAGCCCACTGCCTGCCCTGGGCAGCCTGGCCCACCCGCAGGGGAAAGTGGCCTCTCATAAAACGTGTTAATGTGCCCTGTTTGTTTGTTTGTTTGTTTGTTTGTTTTTTTGGTTTTTCTCCGGTACCGGGAACCGAACTCACGACCTTGCACTTGCCAGGCAGGCACTTTTGCCGCTGAGCTAAATCCCCAGCCCTGTTTGTTTGTTTGTTTGTTTGTTTGTTTTTGGTTGTGTTAATGTGCCCTGGAAGGCTCCCAGCAGAGGGCTGTGGCATTACCCCTGCCTTCCGGTTTCTCTAAAGCCAACTAAGATTTAAAACAAGCCAGGCCTAGTAGGCATACCTTTAGTCCCAGCATTCTTGGAGGCTGAGGCAGGAGGATCACGAGTTTGAGGCCAGTCTGGACATAGTGAGGCCTTGTCTCAAAAACAAGCAAACCAAAAGGTCAGGCATGGTGGTGCACACCTGTACTCACAGCACCCTGGGAGCCTGAGGCAGGAGGGCTGCATGTTCAAGCCCAGCCTGGGCAACTGGTGACACGGAGAGCCCAGAGGCAAATGGAAAAGGGCGGGGTGCAGCTCAG